TCCTACTCCTATCACTCTGCACGCTTAAAATACAATCAAAGCCTGCTTGGGCCAACAACCCAGAGAGACGTTTCCTGCAGGCCACTGGCTTCCCATCACCCCCCCCCCGCCCCACGCACCTCTCTGGATGTACTGCACCGTCTTTGCATCCACGTGGGTTGAGGTGGTTCCCCCGGAGGCATGGACGGACTCACGGGAACAGTCACTAGAGCACAGCACGTCCTGCAGCTACCCGTAATGTCTTGACTTTCAGAATAGCCCGAATTAGGCAACCAAAACAAGCATTTTCATTGCGATTTCAGCAGTTTAGCCTTGACCCGTCTTCAGTGCGTTAACCCAGAGACGTCTCCAGTGGTTGGGGTGGAATGTAGACAGCAAAGGGCTTGAAGAGTTTCAGGGCCCATTTGGCAGCGCGGTTTGAAGAGCAGGCTGCCCGAATTGGGCAGCACTGTGTGACCATGGAGTGACTGCTGTTTACTTTGCAGCTTGGAAATTTAATTCCATTCAACGTATTTTTATGTAGCACCCTATTGAAAGTACTTGCTGCGAAATGCTTAATGTAGGTTGTCACAACAACATTATTAGACGAGAAAAATAATTAAAAATTAGAAATTGGTGCTAGAAAGCCAGAACCAGAAGGTGGAAAAGACAAACAGGATGTTTTTCATTAACTGATGATGCCATGGTTATTATCATGTGCTTCCAATACTGTTGTTTTTTTTTTGGCTAGCAGCATGCTATTCATCTATCGAAATGATATTCCTCATAAAGATAATATCGGCTGACACAAGTGTGCTGCAGAAAAGTTCATCGCTTGCATAAAACTGCTAGCAAAATATATTGCCAGGACGCTGCCAAACTGAGTGAAACAGAAATCATAAAATAGGATCAAAACCGATAGCTCTGTTTGCTGTTGGTTCTCATTGGGTATTACATTCTTGAACTGCATATTCATATCAGGCCAAAGCATGTGGTGAGGTCTTGGAGGGGCGCTTTCGTGCTCACAGCTGCGGCAGAGCGTCTCCCTGCGACCTGTGAATTTGATAAAACATCCCGCATCATTTACCCTTTGTCATTCCCACAGCCCCCCTCTGAAAAAAAATAAAAAATAATAATAAAATTCAGAGAGGCACTCCAGGGGTGGAATGCAGACCAGAGGGTTACCATTATTCATACACACTCGTTCAGCGAAGAAAATGTTATGATATGAAAAAGACCGCAATGTAAAAATATCAAACCGTGCCAAGAGAGCAGGACGGGATTGGGCTGGTTGTTTACTTTTTGTGGAGCAGCGGCTTTTTGAAGGTTTCACATTTTACCCTAAATGACACTGTCAGATGCATTAATCCTCTAAACTGTGAAGAGATGCACAGGTTATTAAATTGATGGGGCTCCCCCTGAAGGTACAGTCTGGCCGGGCGCTGCGTACCTGTCTTGGACATTCCTCTTCCGTGATGTGTGAGGGCTTTAGTTTGTTTTCCATCCTCGGTTTGCCCATTTAACGAGACACTCCTTTCACTGGGATACTCGCGCTGAATTTTTCATTTAACACTGTAAAGTAGGTCAAAGGAAACAAAGCATATTTAATTTCAAAACAACGAGTGGGGTGAATGGGGGGGGGAAACACTGCTTTTGGTATTTCCACAAAAATGAAGGTAGGATGCTCAGAGCACGTTCCCAGAAGCACGCTGCTGTAGTAATTTCGCCAGAGTGTCCTTTTTATCAGGCCTGATCTCCGCTGTAAAGCCTGTGTTTGGCCAGTCATGTGACTCTGTCTCTGGTGTCGCTTTTATTCTGCCCTTAGGTTTATTCAAAATAATATTGTGCAGTGTGTAGTCCCACTATCGAGAAGGCTCTCCCCCTCCCACTGGCCCTCAGAGATGAAGGCAGTGTTTGTATTCCTCTTTCTCATTGCCCTGCAGTCAGGGGATATGCCCCCTTTTCAAATGAAATACTGGCCTTCGCTTCAGAGTTCAGCTGGTGCTTATGGGCCTGATTTAAACGTGCCCTTTTTTCTACTTACATAACAAAATGTTTTTCGTTTGGTTTTGACCCCAGTTTCTGATGCATGTAATGAGTCTTGGGTCCCGAACCGATCCACAGGTCACCGAGGTCGACGTTCCCCTGAATGCTCCAGCAGCCAGAGGAGATCATCTACAACCATCTCAGCTGCCTTGCAGCGCTTTGGCTGGGTAGCCAGTATGATTCCCTCCATATAGAGTGCAGCTTGAACCACGCCTGACTGGTTTCACATGGGCCATGCTAAGTGTGTATAATGGTTTGTGTTGGGTAGGGTAATTAGGCACCTCTTCCCTCTCGAGATGTAATCTTCTAACTTCAACAAGCGTTCTGTGGCATGCTTTGATGGTGGCTGAAGAGGAGGGGGGTTCAGCCCAGAGACTTCCTGCTACCTGACGTTTATTTTGACGGCCGCTCTGCTTATTTGTGACAGTCTTAATCGGCATTGGGGGCCCCTGGCTCCACCGAGGCCGCACATCAGAGGCGGACCCTTCTCGACACAGGGAACCCACTTTAAACGGTTGAATGTGGTGCCAGAACTCCAAGCATGTGTCGTGCTGCCTTGTACATAATATACAAGACTCCTATGAAATATTGACAGATTCCATGGCAAAATATGCACAACAACATTGCCGCAGACCCGCAAAGCGGTCGCAGCCCAGTGCTTTCCCTGCATACGGAGTGCAGTGTCAGTGATTTGCAGAAAAAAATGCATGTTAAGGAGATAATTACAGGCATCAAGACAGACGGAATAAAAACAAATAATTAAGACGTAAAATAAACCGATCGCACATTGTTCTGTGGCTTTTCTCCTCCCAGAATGCATTGCGCCTTAAAACCACAAAATATAGCTGTTATGCCTCAAGATGGGTAAATCATTTCATTTGGTGTGCTCTGCATTTCCTGTGAACCGGGGACTGTTTTTCCAGCATTTGTCTTTAAAGATAATTGAAATAGATAATTGAAAAACTGAAAGGATGATAAGTTGACATGACCAAAGCTGCACTGCTGGTCTAAACAGAGCTTCCCTCTGGTCATGTTACAGTGGTCTGGGGGAAACGATCGGAATTTAATGACCATAAGAAAACCTGGCCCAGAGAGATAAGGTCTGTTGGCCTTTATTCGTGGTCCCCATAGTAAAATGGGCAATAAAACTGCTTTGTCATCTGATTAAGTTAGTTTTTATTTTTCTGCTTTGTAAAAAAAAAAAAAAAAAAAACATTTATTGCTAATCGTTTTGCCTGAACTCACACATTCCTCTGAATAGTCGATAAAGGTCGGATGAGCACATTCTATAGCTGGTGACACCAGAGAGTATTAAAACCCTCAGTGATGCTTCACATGGAAAACGTTAGAAAACACTGCGGGGGAAGGATGATTCTCCAAGCTACGTCATTAGCTTGGCACTTCAAACATCAATGGTTTTTAGCTCAAGTGCCCTTGGATAGTGAGTAATGAGCATGAGCCCAGATTTTATAGTGACCTCAAAACCAATCCTTCGCTTGATATCTGGATACCTATGTTTTGCAACTGAAATTATGAAGATGGATGAAAAAATGTGAAAATCTGGCAGAAAAATATTCCATCAAAATATTCCATCAATATTCTATCAAAATGAAAACAATGAGATGGTAGAGATGCTGGTCTGTTATCGGACATTCTTATCTGAATTTGCATTTAACTTTCATGGCTCTGGCTATGTCAGAGGTCAAGGGTCAGGCTATGTCACATGTCAAAGGTCACACTCTGCACTGTGACATTCTTCCCAGTGAAGACCTTACTGGTTCATTCATTTTTGCTGTTTTGTGTTTTGTGCTATGTTCTGAGCTAGGCAGACCAGCATTCTCTAACTGCTTATCATGGTCAGGGCTGCAGGGGGACTGAAGCCTATTCCAGTCAGCAGAGGGCACATGGGTGGGGGGCACCCTGGATGGGGTGCCAGTCCATCACTGGGGACATGGCAGGGGACACCCTGGATGGGGTGCCAGTCCATCACTGGGGACATGGCAGGGGACACCCTGGATGGGGTGCCAGTCCATCACTGGGGACATGGCAGGGGACACTCTGGATGCTCCTCAGAGTCCATTTTTGTACCTTAACAGGTACATTTACCTACAGCTAAAGGTACAATTGACCAAATTGTCCATAGGTGCGCATGTGTGAGTGACTGGTGTGTGAGTGACTGGTGTGTGAGTGATTGGTGTGTGAGTGACTGGTGNGTGAGTGACTGGTGTGTGAGTGATTGGTGTGTGAGTGACTGGTGAGTGAGTGACTGGTGTGTGAGTGATTGGTGTGTGAGTGACTGTGTGTGAGTGACTGGTGTGTGAGTGACTGGTGAGTGAGTGCTCATAATTCACAAATTAGCACCAAGTAATGATTAAATGGTCGGTTTTCTCCACGTGACAAGAGCTGCAACGTTTTTGCCGTGCCTGTCTCCTGCATGGGTGCATGACAGAGGCCTACCGTGCATGACAGAGGCCTACCGTGCATGACACAGGCCTACCGTGCATGACACAGGCCTACTGTGCGAGGCTGCAGATGGCGGGGGAGCTAAAGAGCAGGGCAGGCACAAATTAGGCCGCCAGTTAGCGGCTTGCTTTATCATACCAGCTTGACATAATTGTTTCTGCACGTGTCTGTTCAAGAAATCTATTAAGTCATCTATTACTGATGCTGTATTGTGGCGACGAGCTACTGCACAAACAAAACACTACAGAGTAGCCTCGCTGTTGCAGATATTTTAACGCATGAATAGCGATACACTCATGTTTCATCTTTTTCATGTCTTAATCCGTGTAGCAGTATTCAATACGCTGACGTTGGGAGGGACTGCTGGAACCACTTATCAAATGATGAAAGAAGCTTAACAAGACTGATTACAATCTGATTACAACGCACTCCCCAGTGAAAAAAAAGAGAAAAACATGACGGTTTATATGTCATGATTAAATCTCCATCTAAAGCTGACATTGTTACATGCTGTATATACATTCTGGATCAGATGCTGTCCGGAGGGTGCGCTGGTATTGGTTGGCACCCAGATTACCCAGCATGCAGTACTGGCCCAGCTTGGGGGTGGATCATGGCCTGACACCTTCCATTACTCTGTCATGGCTCTGTCAGGGGAGGCCCCTTTGGGTGGCACTAATGACCTGTGATGGCTGCTTCCCAGGGACCATCATGGCAAAGACTGCAATTCGTTCAGCTTCCCTTCCGAGCAACGGCAAACAATGCAGTTCAATTTATTTTTAGAAAGACAAGTACCAAACATATTTGCCTAAAGTATTTCACACATATATATATATATATATATATATAGACTGGCAGAAATATATATACAAGCACACACACTGTGCACACGCAAACAGGAAAAGGCAGAATAGAATTTGCAACAGGAACAAAATCTCTTTAGGTTGGAATGGAAGATGGAGACCAAAGGTCAGCTGACTGGCCTCAACACACAATTAGCTAATGTTCAGCTGTCTTCCTAAGGAAGGCTTTCCAGCAACATTAGAGAACATCTGCAGATACAATCAAACAAGGAATGGTTTCACAGCATAACCCCCAAGACCTGTCATGAACGACAGATATGCTGTATTCTTCACACAGTATTAAGTGTCTTTTTTTTCCGCCATATTGATCTTATTGTATTTTTGTCTTGATAGTCCGTAAATCTGCACGGACAGGAGTGATTATCAAATGAATAGCTTTAAACATTGTACTGTACATCTCCACTCAAGCGCTTCTTCTCAAACATTTGGGGAAAATTCGCAGATGTCTTGCAAAGTGACTTTTCCATATGCCGGGCAAACCTTGAAAGCAGAACACTCCACCCAGAGATGCTGATCAGCGTCTCCAAAGACTAGCTGAAACATTAGTTCGTGAACTCGCCTGTTTCGGTCCACCGACATAAGGCCATATGTTGATTAATGGGAAAAATACACTCGCGGGGAGAAAATCGAAGAATGTAGTGACCTAGTTTAAGCCTAATGATGAGGAAAATCTGTGCTATTTCAATACGCTGACGTTGGGAGGGACTGTTGGAACCACTTATCGAATGATGAAAGAGCACTGCTGCTCTTTGCGGCATCGCATGTGTGCGGGCGTGCTGTGCAGTTTATTGTGAGAGCTGCACCTTGTCTGGTCCCTAGAAGACAGCCACCTGCAGGGACGGACACATGTCGCCGTTCTCTCCGACCTCGTGTGTATCAGTGACCTGTGGAGTGAACGCTGGCTCTGACTGCTGGTCTGATGTTGGCCCGGGGGCCTCGGACGCATGGAGAGTGCTTCAGATGTTGCCCGCATTGGTTGCACCGGCCCAACTGCGGCCCTTTGATCCTGGGGGGATGATCGTCGGCGTGGTTGTCATGGAGACGTGGAAGCCTGGGAGCACTATAGCCTTCACAGGTCTTCGGGGCGATGGCTGCACCATCAGCTCCCAGAGACTCAGTCTTTCCAAACAAATATTGCCTCCTGTTGCCACTGACCCTTAATAAAAGGATGTGAACATGAGAGGCCAGAATGTGATTTAT